TGGTTTTGCATTCTTATAATTATTTCTAATATATATGCAAACAAAAACATACCTCTTAAAATAAAAAATATTAATTTGCATTTCACCTGAAATTATCTTTGCAATCATCATTTCTTACTTTGGGACATACCAGTGAGCACAATGGGAGTTTCATTATGAGAGCTGCTCCTTAAAAGGAGTCACTCAGCAGTTGTTAGTTGGAATGGAGAGGATAGGGGCTGTGAGCCCACACAAAGACCGATTTGCTTAGATGGGCGTGGTGAGGCCATGGATGCAGGAGGCAGAGTGGGAACACAGAGTGGGACCCCTCCAGTCTGTAGAAATGTCTCCCTAGAGTTGGACCTCACACCAATTTTCATGTAAATTATATTAGCAAGTAAGCTCTTAAAGCACATAAAATAACACTATAATGTTTATTTTGTGTATTATTTATATTTCATTTATTATATTATTTTATTTTTCCTAATGAAAGAGAGTACAGTATTTTCTATTGCCTCTAATCTACTGATGTTTTTCATGATTATGGTTGGAAAAGGTCAAAAGCATTAACATTTTATGAAGTTGTATTAGTTATGAGAGAGAATCTGAGATCTGTATAGTGAAGTTGAAAATCAAATGGGCATTTTCTTCTGGAGAAGAAATGGGTATACTTCTGGAGTCTTCTCCAATTTGTTTAATTTTTCTGGTTAGCCAAAAACAGATGTAATTCTTGCCCCATTGTTGTGAAGCTTAAATAGCACAAGGATTGCAACAAAACCTTGTCCACACAAGGCATTATAATACTTTATACATCATAAGATGAAAGTTGTTATTAGTATTAGAAGCTGCGTTAGCAAGAAATTGTATAAATTATATTTTCTTCAAATTCTTGTTTTATTTCAATGAATATTTTGTGAAGAGGACATGAGTTGATGTCTAATTTTTGGCTTCTTAGTGAACACGATTAAATATTATACTGGAAAGAATAATTTTAGTTTGCCTTTGATATAGAAATACCAAGTGACCTGGATATTGTGCTTATATTGTCCTCGTAGAAATATAATGACTGCCACACAATAGCGACCAACAATGTATCTTTTTTTCCCTCCAGGAATCTCAGTCTAATGAACACTTGTTTAGATTCCTCTGGGAATAAGAGAGGAAATGGGCTTCTACCTAAAGTCATTTTAAACTTGGTAATATCTAATATTTAGAATATGAAATTAGCTGAAATATGGTAAAAAGAGGCCAGGACTTACAGAAAGATGCTCTGGGTTCAAGCCATAGGCTTGTCACTTAAGTCTTTGAGTTCCCTTTCTCTAAAGTGGTGATCTAATACTGATGTTAGCAAAACTGGTTGTAGTATCAAATACAATGATATAAAAATAACCTTTGTTAAATATAAAATACTACATAGACATCACCATCATTGTTAAAATAAAAGTACTCATTGAGTGTTTTCTATGTTCTTTGCATATGTTAACTTATTTAATTGAGTAATTAGCCCAAATAATATAAATACTATTATAATCTCAACTTTCTGGAAAAAAAAACAAAGGCCTCTAGAAATTCACTAACCTTTCCATTGTTCTGTATTAAACTGACTTCAAAGCCTGCATCATTCTTATTGTTAGAACCATGATATCTTACTCATCTAAAAGAGTTTCAGAACTTGCAGAACTTAATCTGCAACCCACTGTAAATTGAAAAGTAATATGGAAAAGTTTTAACAGAGAAATACTTTTTCTGTATCCTCTTTCGATGATTTCATTTAAAAAGTTTGGACTTTGTTAATGTTAAGATATAGTCAAATAAACTTATGAGTAGCTAGTAAAATTCTCTAGTTCAAAGAACACTCCCATTTCTTCATAAACATTGTGTTGGAGAGAACTGTTTTTTAAACTGGGTACATGACTCTATGATTTTCAGCTACTTGGCTTAGAAAGCCCCTTTCAGCTGTCAGAAGGGTTTATCCTCATGGGCATAGGAGGTCTACTGCACTTGTGTGGAATCCAGGAAAGCAGGACCTTGGAGGAAGACAAGGGTAGGTATTCATGCTGTTGGGAGTGGTCTCAAAATGATGACTGAAGTCAGAAGAGTGAATGAAAGAGGAAAGAGCCAAGAATTGATATTTGATAGATATCTGTTTATAGAATAGGGAAGAAGAAGAGAAACAAGCCATGGAAAAAGAAAATGAACTATAAGAAAAATGAGAGGAAATAGAGAATCTAGAGAGTCTAATATCATGGAATCCATGAAAAAGTCACTTTGAGGAGGGAAAAAGAATATCTCTCTACCCCCTTCTTTCTGATCCCTTACATTTGCCACCCCCCCCCCCAATTAATATGCTGCTATGGAAAGGTTCTGTCTCTTTGATTTTAATTTTTTTCCTAGATAACAACAATGAAACTTAGCTCATAGTTTGGTTCCTAGGGGGATATATGTTCTCAGAAGGTGATAGGTTTTGAGGTGTTGTTTTGACCCAAAGTGGGAAGCAAACAGAAAAGTAATTTTTTTCAAGAATGATGTATTCACACAAAATGTCCATGAATGTGTATTTTCCATGAGGCCACATGGCCCAGAGGTCCACAGTTCACCATCTATATATGCATCTAAAGTGCAGTTGTTTATTTCATTAGTTGGATGTTGGGATGAGAAAGATGTCAGATTTACTTCAGAACCAAATCCCTTAGATGAACTTGGCAATGGTTAGATTGACCTCAGAATGTTATGTCTCAGTTTGTAAGGAGAATCAAAGGAAACTTGAAGAAGATAAGAGTTAAGTGAAATTCCACTAGGCAATGCTTCCTTGTTTTGTGTGCTGACTGCAGTGTGATGAGCTGGGCTCTGGAGCCAGACAGTCCTAGTGAAGCTGTTCTTGCTGTGTGCACATCGCTTACGTCGCCCAGCCTCACGCACCAACCCTACTCCCTGCAAGGAAAACATAATGTGTGCCTCACCTCCACCTTCTTTATTGAGTATCTAGTACTGTCCATGCACATAAATTGTCCCTCAAACATGGCAATTATTATAATTACACTTATGATTAAGAAATTCTAACTGATTTCTGTCCAGATGTGCAGATAAGGGCAATTTATTTCTTGTTAAAATCACATCACCAACAGGTAGGGAGGGATACCCCATAAATTTTGCAATAAAGATCTCACATTAAAATGCAGTTGACCTTTTCAGCAGGAGCCATCATTAAATGACATGACAATTATCAGGTGGAACACTCCTATGAAATACCCAGAGAAGCACATTCAGCCTCATTTGGTTTTATGACTTGAGACTGGTTCTGAGAATTTTAATCCTAATTGCTTTCCTAAGAAATTTGCAGGACTGCTGAAATGCATAGTTATGATAAGTTTTCACAGTCAGCATTGGAAAATCATTAGTACTTAATCAGGAGAAAATCCATACTGCGGCATGTGGAAGCGTGGGGTCTTGTGCCTCCTTAGGGGCAGAGGCAGGGGTGAGCTGAACAGCTGTGAGCTAACTACCTCCTAGATGGGAGAACGCCAGGGGCACTCTCCGGGTTGATGATAGATGCTCTCCTGGGTCAAGACTGGGAACCCCATCTGCACATTGGCTTCTCTGTGCAGCAGAGACAGGCTGCTGAGGTCTATGATTACTGAAGAATTAGAGGTGTTGTCCTATCCTCCTCATTTCCACTCCTTTCACCTGAACCTGGAAGCTGTTGAGAGCGTCTCACAAAGATCATGTGGATGCTTTCTAGAGATGGCTCTTGCTTACTTGAATCAAATCCCCCTTTTCTAAATGTTTAGCTTCTCAGTCTCAGAAATTGCCTCCCACCCTCTCTCCTGGCAGTCTCAGTGAGCCCCTGAGTGTGCCAGCCACTGTTTTAGGTATAGAGGGACACTGTGCTGAGCAAGACAGTTCCAGCTCATGCCTTGAGGTACTCAGTCTAGTGGGGAAACCAGGCGAAAACTCCTCCTACTCTACCTACATCCCTGTGGTTGAGCCTTTTAGGGTCTGGCCATGGTGACCCTTTGGAAGAGAAGGGCCCCCTGATGCTCCAGAGGTAATCATTCCAGGATGCTTACCTCCACTGCAGAGTGTCTGAAACCTGTGTGAAACCACTGGCAGGGTTTAAAGTGCTCCTTACCTCCCCTGTCAGCAGGTGGGCTCAAATGCCCTCAAGAATAGTCCCTGCCTGCTGGGGCCTCCGGAGAATTTACCCAGAGTGGGTGAGCTCACTGTACTGGCTTCAGTGAGACCATTTCTAAATAAAATATTTCCAAAAGACACTTTTTTTGAGTCCTAGTCCCTCATTTGCTAATTAAGTGATTTTGAATTTCTTTGTCTTTAAGGTAAAAACAATAACCAACCTCTCTCATTGGGACAGTAGCAAACTTCACAGGAGTCAGGACCTGCAGAGACTTAGCATCCTGCCTGGCACATTGCGAGTGCTCGTTACACATTAGCACATTTTTTATTTCTGTTCACCTAACAGAAGGTCTCTGTGACTACACCAGATTCTATAAGACACTTCCCAGATGCAGGGAATGTCAGTAGCTATTGGAGGACACTTAGGGAACCACAGAAATTTCCAGCATTCCTTGGTTTCACTCCTCTGTTTTCTACCTGTGTAGATTGGCGTATTAGCCTGGACCCTAAGATATCTGACAATAAGCACATCAGTGATTCACTACTCACAAGCACAGTGAAACCCCACACCTAAGAGAGGATCAACTGAAGCATTCCTTGGGAGGGAACTGGCTTTATCCCTTCGACTCATTTGGTTGCTGCAATCAGAAGCACTTGGGTGAACTTCAATAGGAAATGACACTGAAACCCTGCCTCACACAGTTCATTAAATTAGGGCAGGAAAAGCAGTGTCTTAGTTACTGAGGAGAGGAAACTACAGAAGCCAATGGGGCTTGAGGAAGGTTGTAAACTTGGCTGGTGAGAGAAAAGTATGTGACTCAAGAAAATGGTGAGAGACACAAGGCGCATGGAGAGAGCTCTGCCGCTCACAGGGAGCGGTGCTCACATACCAGTTCCTTCTTCTTCATGCACTCCATGAGGATGATGAACAGATGCTGGGCCTGGGTTCGAGTGTATGTGAAAGTCTTCTGGATGGTCACCAACAGCTGGTCCCGCAAAGATTCATTTATAAGTCTGCAATTAAAAACAATGTCAAAACAGGTCACCCCCAGCTCCTATTCAGTGCATATTACTGAGAAATATTAGAGAACGTAAGGAAGCATTATGACCATTGAGGTAGGTGTTACTACTTCCTGTATTTTCCTCACAATAGTTATTTTGACTGGGATAATAAATTAAAAAAAACAGTGCATTTAACAATAAATCCATTTTAATGTTTCAGACCCTAAAAGAGTAAAGTGAGATTTGGTTCTTTTTTCTTTTTCTTTGTTTTATAAAGGATGTGTTTAATTCCCTCATCCTCAACTGCTGTGATCAAAAATGCCTTTAATTAATCATTAGCATTTTGGTAAAAATTTATATTATTTATCTAAAGATTTAAATTCAACTTTATCTGTAATTGTAAAGCAGAGGTCATATCTTGGTAATGGATTTTTGAGCATCGATGAGGAAAAATAGAAATTATGTTTCCTCTAAATCATTTCAAGTCAGTGGTAGCTTATCTGGCCTATGACTTGGGTCATCATTATTTATGTCAAGATTTTCTGTGTTACACCTAACTAGGGCCTGACCCCAAGGAGGCCTCATATTAACTACTTTATGAAAAGACAGTTTTTACACTATAGAAGAATTCATGAAAACAAGGGAGGTGCATCATATCCAATTCATGCTCTATCATCTCTTAAATATAGACCAATTTTAACTAACTTTAACTCCCCTCTCGCTAGCCTGGTGAGAAAAAACTGGGCTATTTCTACCAGCCATTAAATGGCTAGGAACAAAAATTGACTTCATTTAATAGGTAATGTCCAAAATCAGGAAGATAAACCTTTTTTTGAGAACCAGTGACAAAATTATAATACCTTGCCTAGTATTTTAAAGTTTACACTTTTTAAAAATAATTGAAGTATCAGCAACTCCTACATGCAATAGTGCAATATAATTGTTATGTCATTTGGTGCTTACAAGAACCCTATAGCCAAAAGATTTATACAGTTGAAGAGGGAAGGATATTTTAACCCCAAAGAGCCAGATGCTTATGGTTACTCAGCAAATAAGTGGCAGAGTCAGGGCAGAATCGAGTTCTTCCGATTCCTGGTCCAGGGCTCTTCCCACTTCACCACACTGCCCTGTATTATACCCATTGCACTGCACCACTGCCTCTCTTCATCACTGTGGCTATATGAGCAGAAATCATAGAACTTCCATTAACATAAAGGCATGACAAATTTTGTTGCTTAAAAGAAAGCAAGATGGGAGGCTTGAGAATATGTTCATATTGGTAGCCTGCTGTGCTCCAGGATTGTGTGAGGATTCACCTGGGCCCTCTAGGTTGGATATTATGGTGGCCCAACTTTGAGGAGGGTGCATTTCCCATGAGAGAATTATACAAAGGATCCTAGAGTGTCACTGACTTTAGTAGTGGACTGGGGTATTCCTCTGCCCCTCAGGAAGATGGAAATCATGAACATATATATTTATATTTTTCTTTTTAAAAAAATATATTTTATTAATTATGCCATTACAGTTGCTCTATTCCCCCCTTCATTCCCCTCCACCCTGCACACCCCCTCCCCCACCATTCCCCCCCCCTTAGTTTATGTCCACGTGTTTCAAGTTCTTTGGATTCTATATTTCCCCTACTATTCTTGCCCTCCCCCCTATCTATTTTCTATCTACCATCTATGCTACTTATTTTCTGTACCTTCTCCTTCTCCCACTCCCCTGTTGCTAACCCTCCATGTGACCCTCCAGAACCCTTAATTTCTATGGCTCTGCTCCTGATCTAGCTGTCCTCTTAGTTTGCTTTTGTTTTAGGTGTGGCTATTAATAACTTTGAGTTTGGTGTCCTTTCACTGTTCATCTTTTTTATCTTCTTTTTCTCAGGTAAGTCCCTTTAACATTTCATATAATAAGGGCTTGGTGATGATGAACTTCTTGAATTTGATCTTATCTGAGAAGCACTTTATCTGCCCTTCCATTCTAAATGAAAGCTTTGCTGGATAGAGCAATCTTGGTTGTAGGTCTTTGGATTTCACTACTTGGAATACCTCTTTCCAGCCCCTTCTTGCCTGTAAGGTCTCCTTTGAGAAATCTGATGACAGTCTGATGAGGACTCCTTTGTAGGTGACTATCCCCTTAGCTCTTGCTGCTTCTAGGATTCTCTCCTTCATTTTCATCTTGGCTAATGTAATGATGATGTGCCTTGGTGTGTTTCTTCTTGGGTCCAACTTCTTTGGGACTCTGAGCTTCCTGGATTTCCTGGAAGTCTATTTCCTTTGCCAGATTGGGGAAGTTCTCCTTTATTGTTTGTTCAAATAAGTTTTTCACTGGTGGCTGTGCCTTTCCCCATTCTGGTACCCCTATAATTTGGATGTTGGAGCGTTTAAAGATGTCCTAGAGGTTCCTAAGACTCTCCTCATTCTTTGAATTCTTGCTTCTTGACTCTTTTCTGTTTGGCCATTATTTGCTTTCTTCTGGCCCACTCCATTGATTTGAGTCCCAGTTTTCTTTCCATTACTATTGGTTTCCTGTGCATTTCCATTCATTTCAATTAGTTTAGCCTTCATATGTTCCTCTAATTTGTGACTAAAATCAACCAGTTCTGTGAGTATCCTGATCACTAGTGTTTTGAACTGTGCATCTGAAAGTTTGGCTATTTCTTCATCACTAAGATTTATGGGCTCTGGGGCTCTGAGTTGTTCTTGAGTCATGTTTTGATCTGTTTGTGCCTGTTACATATGAGGAGCGGAGCCTTAGGTGTTCACCAGGGTGGGGCCACCCAGGTCACTGGTTTGTGACACTGTATGTGGGGGCAGGGTCAGAGAGGGACAATGACGGTTCCTTCTGCCACTTTCTGCTGCTGGGGACTGTGCGGTCCATCTCACTGCTAGCTCCTTCACTGGTTTATCTGCGTGTGAATGTGTGACCGCGATCAGCCCTCAGTGGGTCTGCCCACTTCTCCACACCTAGGATCTGCCCACGGCTGCTGGCGCACCTGGGTCGCGCACCCTGGGCCCTGGTCGGTCAGTGTGGTGGATCTTTCCTGCCTGACCCCACTCTGATGCTGGCTCTGCCCCTCATCGGTTTGGCTGAAGGGTTTGTTGCTGTCAGACTTCTGTGTAGTTCAATTTTCTGTGGTTTGGCTGTGTTTTGGTTGCTAAAACTTTGTTGCTTTTAAACTTAGTTGTGTGAGAAGGTATAGTGCTTCCACCTACACCTCCATCTTGGCGGAAGTCCTCATAAACATATACATTTAGAAAAAGAGATGGGCCAGATAGGGTTGAAAAGTGATACCAGATCACCTCAAGTTACTATTCTGGAGGACTGTGTCATCTAGGGTGCTGACCAGTCTAAAACCATCCATTTGTTCATTAATTCATTAATTCATTCATCAATTGTTTAGTAATATCTATTTAATGCCAGGCACTGCGACGCATGCCAGGGCAACGGGGATAGATGAGATATATATACTCCCAGCCTTCAAGGAGCTTACACACCAGTGGAATAGAAAGACAAGAACCAGCAATTCAGCTGTGATTGACAGTGGTAAAAAGAAGTAGAGAAGCTTGTGACAGTTGAATAGAATCTAATCTAGAGAGTTCAGGGAAGATTCCACTGAGGAAGTGCTGTTTTATCCGAGACTTGAAGAATGAATGAGCATTAGCATTGTCAGGGAGTGGTGGGGCTGGGGAGGAGCATTCTCAGCAGACAAAAGAGCACAAACAGGCCCACTTTAGAGAAAATAAAAGGTCAGTATGCCTGGACCGTAGAGAACAAAAGAAAAAGTGGAACAGGATGGGGCCACAGAAGGGATGAGCAAAAGTAAGATAATAAAGGAAATTATGGGATGGTGTTAGAGATCTCAGATTTTATCCCCCCACCACCCCCAGTGAAAAGGCATTGAAGGATTTAAGTTGGAAAGTGACATGATTACTTTTGTGTTGCCAATACATTTTCTTGAAGAGTCAGAGCTTGAGCACTCATACCTGAGCCTGTGTCTAGTTGACAAATAACCCATACAGATATGTCTAGAGAATTCTGCAATATCAAGTGTACCTACATGTTGTACATGATTAACAATAGAAGAGACTCTTCTGATTAGTCACTTGATAGATCCAATCATTCATCTGCAGGTGTTTAATTTTTATAACAAGTCAAAATTTGTTTTCCATGGCTAAGCATCTGTAATAGAATCCCAGTTCCCTGAGGTCATTAACTATCTGAAGGATCTGCCTGTCATTTTATAAAAATTGAGGAATGATGTGCAACTTAGCTAATTGTGGGCTTCAGTGGTTAGGAGAGATGAAAGACACTAAGTATCTTATACTTTTAGCACAGTGGTGCAGGTGACTAAAGTGGTTTTGGATAAATCATTTAGCAATAAGAACCACAGAATTCTACTTCCAGAAATAGAAGAATTCTCTAGGTTAGTTGGTTTCCAAAGTGTGGGATGCCTGTCCCTTATGGAGCAGAGACAGTTTTGGGTACAACAAAGGTGATTTGGTTCTTCTAAGGCACTGGTTATACTCAGTAAACATTAATAACTGTTATTGCTGGTTTAGTACTTTTTCCATGTTTCTGATTGCATTAAGAGGAAAATCATATTTCCGATGTCTCTTTGCCTTTACTCTTCAACATTTGCAAATCTCCCCCTTTTGACAAAGAAATAGTGGATTAGATCTCATGTTTTTGGCCTAAAGATTTTAATAACATTGTTTTGGAGAAATCCTGCATAACATGTGGTTTGTATATAGCACATAATGATCTATGGCACAATGGGCCCCAGTGATAATCTCATTTTATCTTCATAACACTCTGTGAGTCAAGCACTTTTTCCATTTTGCAGAGCAGGAAACTGTGTCTCCACGAAGTTAAATGATTTGTACAAAGTCACATAACTTGAGTTGAGTCTATTGATTTCAACCCTCCCTGCGTGGTGCTGCTTTTCCTGATTGTAACCTGTAAACATGTCTTTCAGTTTCCTGATCATTGGCACTGGAGGTAAAAATTTC